ATCCCGCAGTTTTTAAGCTGTTTCCACAAATCATAAATCAAAACGTTCAGCTCTTTCAGGATAATCCTGCTGTAACTTTTGGTGTTAGTGCAACTTTAGCTTTTTGAAATATTTAGCCTTTTCTGCCATTTTTTTCTCATATAAACTGAATTGAACTTATTTTACATCCTTCAAATCTTTAGATCTGTTTACAACCTTTTACTGCTCCTTTCACATTTGTTCTGCTTCAGCTTCTTTCAGCTTCCTTGTGTAAATTAAAAAAAAAAATCAGCTAATTTCAGCTGTTTTGTGCTCCTTCCAGATTCTTTCTGCTAACTACAACATTGCTGTGCTTCTTCTAACTTATTTTCGCTCATTTCAGCTTATTGCTGCAAGTTTCAGCTTTTTCAGTTATTTAAGCTATATAGCTGTTTTATGCTGATTTTAGCTTTTTCAGCTAATTCCACATTTTTTGCGCTCGTTTAAATTTTTTCCTTCTAATTCAGCTATAATGTGCTCTCTCTACTTCCTTCTGGTAATTTAAGCTTCTTTCTGCTTTTGTAGCTACTGGTCAGCTGTTTTTGATAATTTAAGCTTTTTGCAGATAATTTCCTTTTTTTGTTGTTCTCATTGCTGATTTCAGCCTAATTGAGCAAACGTTCTTTCTGCTTCTGTCTGCTAATTTATGCTCATTCTACCCTTTCAGCTACTTTTTTTTTCCTTAGCATTTTTAGCTAATTTCAGCTGTTTTCAGACAAATTCAAGTTTTCATGGTGATTTCTGCTACTTTCAGCCTAATTAACATATTTCTTCTAATTTCAGCTTATGCTCCTTAAAGCTTTTTTCTGCTAGTTTCAGTCTTTTCTGCTATTTCTTCTACTTTTTAGCTGTTCTGAGCCAAATTTAGCTTTTCAGCTAAATCCCAATTTTTTTTTTAGATTATTTCAGTTCCTTCCATTTTCTTCTGTTAGTTTAAGCTTTCTTCTGATGTTTCAGCTACTTTTCCTCTATTTTTTTCTTATTTCAGCTGTTTTAGCTAATTTCATAACTTCTGTGCTCCTTTCTGCTTATTTAAACCTAATTCAAGAAATTGTTCTTTCTGCTTATTTAAGCCTAATTCAAGAAATTGTTCTTTCTTCTTATTTAAACCTAATTCAAGAAATTGTTCTTTCTGCTACCTTAGGCTTCTTCCATTTCAGCTACATTTCAGATTTTTTTTAAGCTAATTTCAGCTGTTCTTCAACAATAAACATTCACACTGCATTTTCACAGGAAATGCAATTTCTCTAGTTTGATCAGTTTTTGTGTATTTCTTTGGACCACCAGCTACTTCTGCCTCAGTCAGTCCTTTTCATGTCGGTCTGCCCCACCCATCTACACCTGTTCCCTGTTTTCATCGCCACAGCTGCAGCCATTCCACTCTCTAGCTCCTCGTCTGTACAGTCCCTCAATTTCACCTCGCTTTTCAGTCAGTCTTTGTGCACTCATGCCAGGTCATCATATCTTTTTGTGTTTACGCCAAGATCATGTACGTTTTTACCACGTTGACTGCTTTTTAGTCACCTTTATAAAGGTTTTTTTTTTTTTAACCTGAGCTCATTTGGTCAATCTGCACTCCACAGTTCTAAACTCCTCCAAACTGTGACAACATTACTTAATAATAAAAAAAAAAGATTAAATTTTGCGGTAAGTCGTAGCAAAAATTATTGTAATCCGGAGACACAAGAAGCACAGGGAAGACCTGAAATAGCATGAAAACAACAATTCTCTGCTGACGTGAGAACCAGAACAAATAGTCAGGGGTTGATGAGTTAGTGGAGACACAAGGGCAAGATGAAGACATGGGACAGCTGAGAGCAGACTGACTGAATTAATTATGGCACACAGGAGAACACAGAAATTAAAACACAACAATTAGAATAAACCTGAAAATAAACACAAGGGACTGTCAACAGACACAGATCCTAACATTTCTCTGCATAACCTCATCTCGTTTTGTGTTTTTATTGCTCTAACCCGAACAACTCACCCAAATATCCTTATTTTCCACAAACGTCGGCACCGTGCACGTCTTTGCATTTAGCTCCTGCCCTGAAAGTGGCACTAAGTTTTCTCTGACCCAGATCTAATCCAGTCGTAGAAATGTACAGACTTTGGCAGGTTGCATTGTATTTGCTGCAGTTACCTGCAGAGCCTCTGGTACCAGACTCCACCTGCTAAGTAGAGCAGATTAACTGTGACAAGAGTGCAGGCCCTCACACCACGATAAACATAAAGGCTTGTGTAGGTTGTCTTATTCCTTCGAGGTTGGACACATTACCTCAACAAAACGAGAAGAAGAGCAGGTGAGGAAGACTCGTTTCCTCAGCGTACTTCTGTTGATCTGTGATGCACGCAGTTTAATTCTTCCTAATGTCTGGTGATCAGTTAGTCAGACATTAATCGTTAACTTTGAGTGCAAATCAAAGCGCTGTAACTCTCTTCCTGCACCGAGGGAGATCTTCTGTACCCAGAGGAAGGAAAAATAAAAAAAAACTAATGTCCTCCTTTTCTCCGTCTCACAGCAGCAGTGCTCCATTTTGTTGAGGTGCAACAACACATTTGGGGTGCCTTCGGATTTTTAGTTTGGTGCACGAGCTAATTATTTCCCAACAGTTGAATGATCTGTACGTCTGGAAAAACATCCACCAGTTTAGCTCGTTTTTTTTAAGACATACTCTCCAAGGCTGTTCAGTAACCCTTATTTGTCCTACTTACTATATGAATCTAACACGTATCCACAGACTCTGCAGGCACGATGCTCTGGCAGCACTGCTGATTTGATTTGGCAGTATTAGGGCACAGTTCCTGCTGAATGCTCTAAAATTTAGCTTTCCACGTGCCCCCCATCCCCAAACTGAGTCTCTTCTCTCGGTAATCACTCCAGCGACCACCGCTCCACCGCCGCCTGCACCCAGATCTGTTGCTGACGAGTCGCAGCCGCACTGAGCATGTTCATTTAGGGTGCGGAGACGCCAGGAAGTTCACATTTATTATGAACTTTAGTGAGTTTAGTAAATAAATACATGATAAATAAAAAGACAAGCATAATCTGAAATAATGCAATATCACCCGCCGCCTTTCAGACTATGTTCAAATTGGTTGAAAAAGGACAGAGCTGAAACCGTTTTGGTTAAACCTTGAAAATGTGTATGTGTTGTGAATGACTCTCAGCTACTACCACACCAAATATGAGCTCAGTAGCTGCAAAATTGGCTGCATTATAATAATTGTTGTGTTGAAGGTCTATTAGCTGTGGCGGTCATTGTAAATCGTATCAACTTCAAAAAGTTCAGCTGTAGTTTTACATACAGTGATTACTTTCTGAAGGTTTATTTTAAATCATGAGATATTTTGCTAACAGATGAACAAATGAGAAAAAACAGACAGGAAGAAACATCCACCTTTCACTTTATGTCAACAATCAATATATATATATTTATTTTTTCTACATTTGTTTAATATAATATAAAACAGAAACACTATATTATTTTTTTCTATGGTAATGAATTAAAATCTATGTTTTAGTTTTTGCATGAATTAATGGCATATTTTAGAATCTTGTTAAAAAAAAAGGTACACACACTATATTCATTTTATAATTACTTTATTGTTTAAGGCCCCCTATATACAAATGAGTATGAAGTTAAGCAAGTATAAATGATAAAATACAAAAAAAAACATTTAAATTAATAGCGTGAATGCTTATGAAGTATTCACACTATTGTGATCCATTTTTCTTCCATACGTTTTTCGGCGCAACTCTCGTCCCGCAGTTTTTAAGCTATTTCAACAAATCATAAATCAAAATGTTCAGCTGTTTTAGGACAATCCGGCTGTGGCTTTTGATAAGGGTGCAACTTTAGCTTTTTGGAATATTTAGCCTTTTTTGCCATTTTTTTCTCTCATAGAAAATTAATTGAGCTCATTTTCCATCCTTCACATCTTTAGATTTGTTTACAAACTTTTACTGCTCCTTTCACATTTGGTTCTGCTTCAGCTTCCTTCTGCAAATTGTAACTTTTTTCAGCTACTTTCAGCAAATTTCAGCTGTTTTGTTCTCATTTCAGCTTCTTTCAGCTAACTACAACATTTTATTGTGCTTCTTCTAACTTATTTCTGCTAATTTCAGTTTATTATGCTCCTTGCAGCTTATTTCTGCAAGTTTCAGCTTTTTCTGCTCTTTCAGCTGCTATATAACTGTTTTTCTGCTCTTTTTTAGCTTTGTAGCTAATTCAACATTTTTTGCAGTCATTTAAAATTTTTTCAGCCTAGTTCAGCAAAAATGTGCTCGTTCCACTTCCTTCTACTAATTTTAGCTTCTATCTGCTTTTTTAGCTACTTAAGCAGTTTTTTGCTAATTTCAGCTGTTCCCAGATAAATTAAATTTTTTGTGTCGACTTCTGCTACTTTCAGCCTAATTAACTTCTTTCAGCTAATTTGAACTTGTTATGCCCCTTTCAGCTTTTTTCTGCTACTCTAGCTGTTTTATGCTATTTTTATCTTTTTCAGCTAATTCCACATTTTTGAGCTCATTTCAACTCTTTCCACTTCCATATGGTAGATTAAGCTTCTTTCTGCCTTATTAGCTACTTTTCAGCTACAGTATATTTTTGTAATTTCATCACCTTTTTTAGCCAGTTTCATAATTTTGTGCTCATTTCTGCTTATTTAAATCTAATTCAGTAAATATATGTTCTTTCTGTTTTCCTCTGCTTGTTTTTCCATTTCAGCTAAAATTCTGCGTGTTTTTTTTTTAGCTAATTTCAGCTGTTTTTCAGCAAGTTTTTCAGCAATAAGCATTCACACTGCATTTTCACAGGAAATGCAACTTCTCTAGTTAAAAATATGTTTTAGGAACATCCAGCGCTCCAGTGTTAAACAGAAGCTTCTCCTGCAGACTTAACCTCAACATGAGGTAAAACCATGAAGTCGTCACATTATTTCTTGACCGTACGGAAACGCGATCTGTGCGTTTGCAGGTCTGGTGGGCAGCTGTCGTTTCACCGGCTCCGCTCAGAACTACAGCACGCTGCTGCTGGAGGAGGACGCCGGGCTGCTGTATGTGGGGGGCAGAGGGGCTTTGTACGCTCTCAACGCCTCCAACATCTCATCTGCAAACCTCTCCGTGAGTGACCTCACACCACGCCTCCAGCCTAAGACAATCCACTGTTGGGCCCGAAACAGCAAATCCAATTTTGTACATTTTGAGAGGAGGATTGAGGGAGAACAAAACAATAATAGCCCTTAAGTGGACTGAGTAAATCCCATTGTGTTCCTCCAGTTTTTATAGATCTTGGCTTAAATGCACCAGGCGTTTATTCAAAGGGTTACAGAAGACTGGAAAATTTATTGATGCAGCTAGAAAATTAAGTGTGTTGTCCTTCTATCCTCTCTTCCCGTTTATTCACACATTTGTGTTCCTTTATTTATCTCTCCACCCCTCCTGTCGATCTTTACAGCCTATTAATCACCCCCGCCTTCGTTTTATTTATTGAACTGACTGAGTCATTCTTATTATGCCCCATTGTTTCCAGATTGATTGGAATGCTTCCCCCGAACAGAAGAAGCAGTGTCTAAGCAAAGGCCGAGACAATCAGGTACAACCCTGCTCTCGTTTTTTTTTTTTCTCGAGAAAATATTTTTATCCAAATTACTACCAAACACAGAGTGTCGTCTTTTTATTTGACTTGTAGATTTTATTTTCCTGCATTCCAAGAAGGCAGGGTGGACATTTAAAATGAAAATAATTTGCATTTATTAACTCCCTGCATGCACTGACCTTTATTGTTTTCCTCTATTTTCTGCAGACAGAATGTTACAACCATGTCCGCTTCCTGCAGCGCTACAACGAAACCCACCTGTACGTCTGCGGAACCAACGCCTTCCGACCTCTTTGTGCTTACATAGTAAGAGCTCACTTTTTTTTTAATGCCAGCGTAACTGTGAGCTGAACTGAAGGGAAAAAGATAAAATGTTTTTGTTTCCTCTCCTCCAAGAATGCAGAGAGGTTCAGTTTCTCCTCTGGTTTCGAGGAGGGCAGAGACAGGTGTCCATATGACCCGGCAAAGGGACACACCGGTCTCCTCATTGGTACGTCCATATTGTTCACCTGGCCTCTTCTTTTAATCTTGCTCTAGATTAAAAGCCAAATTGCTAACATTTTAAAGTTGAAACACAGTAGGGTTTTTTGAAGTGGTGTTCTGTGGTAAGGTTATAAGTATCTTACCTGTTGTAGATGGCTTCTTCTATTTGGAGAGTTGAAGCCTGAAAGGACTGATAACATAATGGCTAACATGGACATGATTAAAGTGGACTTCTGTTGTCTTTAAACAACTCCAGTTGCCATAGTTTTATGAATGTTCATGCAAATCCTGTTATTTAAACCTATATACCACCATCAGGCTTGGTTAGTATCAGGAAATTCCTGCAGGAAGTGCTCATGAGCACTCCGAATACACTGGAATGGCAAATGATTTTGCCAGGTGATATTCGTGGTTGCCATCTTGCTAGGTTCTTTGTTTTGTTTACATGTAAAACCCACACATTGTTAGCTCCTTGTGTGTGCTGTATGCTCCTGTCATCAGTAGAGAAACATAGAAGGAGCCTTATTATACTTGTGTAAGCATAAATCATGCATGTTGTGAAAACAGGGGACGAGAGTGTCCTGTAATGAGCCTCACACTGAGCTTGGTCAAGCAAATTCTCAGCCTGGTGCTCTACCGTCCCCAATCTATTGACCGTATATTAAAAATGTTATAATGGATCAAACTGTAGGCCTAAATAAGGTTAATTACAAACTTTACAAGCTGTCACTTTATACCAATTAGCTAGTAATCAACTCAGTATGTGCTACAGTATTTCTAGCCAGACCAGCATACTTTAATTAGGTACTTTACATGTCTACGTACCACCTAACCACCACTCTAATCGCTTTGTTTCTGTTAGGTTCTTCTCAGGTGTACGTATGTCTCCATTGTAACTGGGTCCCCCACTTTGTGGATGGGATTTTCATAGCTCATATTCTGCTTGACAAATTGGGTCATTTAACGGTTGCAGTCTGCCAACGTCAAAATTGTCTGCTTAGGGTGGTACACTTGGAACCACAGATGAGGTGGTACCAAAAACCGAACGGAAACCAGCAATGGGGACACTCATAACTATTGTGGTGTCAAACTGAACTGGAGTGTCAAAACCACGGAGAAAGGGCTTTAGTCGAACTTGATCTCTGCTGCCAGTGGCTGTTGACTGCATTAAGAATAATACCCAGTAGTCCCTCGTTTATTGCCAGGGATCCGTACCCTGAAGCAAAAAACTGTGAAGTAGGAATAGTAGTATAAGTAGTAAGTACTGGTAGTAGTTTATTTTAGTATATATATATATAAAGTATATGTGTTATTTTAAACCCTTCCCAAACTCTTGCAATATTCTTAACAATGTTTCTAAACTGTAAACTCTTTAAAAGAGCACAGAAGACCCAAAAGTCCCAGGTTCGATCCCCAGTCACTGCACATCACGTGGCGTCTCTGGGCAGCACGCTTCATCCCCAAAATGCCCCCCGGGCGCTTTCAATAGCTGCCCACTGCACCACCTGGTGGTGGATGGGTTAAATGCAGAGACTAATTTCGCCATTGTATGGAAACATACAGTGCTGACATTGTGATGACATTATTATTATTATTATTATAGAATGTCATGATTTCAGCTCCCTGTCTCCTCTGCTGTCTGCCACGCCCACTTCTCCACTCTGCATGGAGATCAGCTGTTCAGCTGCAACAGGAAGCATATCCTGCAGTGTGGGCTGCACAGAGGTGCAGCAGGTGCTAAATAATTTAAAATAATTTATTTTAAATAAAAATTCCATGCCGATCGTGCAGCTCATCCATCTATCAGTCAATTGTGTGTCTTGTCCAATCTCACTTTGAAAAACCGCGATAGAGCGAGTCCGTGAAAAACAAACTGCAAGTAGCCAGAGACTACTGTATATATATTCTAGTCTTTTTCCCCTCATAAATATTATAAAAGATGTGCTTCAGTGTTTAAACTGAGCCTTTGTCTCATCCAGAAACTAATTCATTATTATTTAGCACATACATATATTTTCTGACAGTGTAAGCAAACATAAAGAACAAGCAAAACGCTAAAAAGATCACAGCTTCAATGATTTCGGAGCTAATATGGAATAATGCTCACCTATAAAATGTATTTCAACGTTCTTTGAAGTGCACGTTCTGATCATTTTAACAATTAATGGCCAAACAATGGGTTCCATGGCTGAGTTTAGTTTTATTTTCTACTCAGAAATCCATGGTGTGCTGTCATGCCTGTGATAACTAAAGACGCACCTATCAAAGCTTTCACTTTGATAACAGCTGCACTGTGGTTGGCCATTTTATTCCAGTGTTTTTCTCTTTCAGTGCTCCAAACTATCTTTATAAGGCAAAGACATTGTTATGTGTCTGCAAAGGTTTATCGTCAAGCTTTTAGTTATTCCAGAAGTTTAAGGCTCACTAGATGTTTTGCTTTAGATATAAACATACTAACCGTGATGCAATCCTCCTTCAATCCATTGTTTTGTCTTTTTGATTGGTTAAATAGATGGTGAGATGTTCACAGCCTCTCAGTATGAGTTTCGTAGCTCTCCAGACATCCGCAGAATCTTCCCCTTCCCCACTCTCAGGACAGAGGAGGCTCCCACCCGCTGGCTTCTTGGTAAATAATCCAAAGTATTGATGGTGTTTGCTAGATAGCTGTGCTAGGACACTGATTTATACACTTTATTTTCCATTTAAAGTTAATAGAAACAATTTCTATTACTTTGGTAGCAAATAAAATGCATAAAAGATGCATTGTGTTGCTGCTCTTTACTGGTTTTTCTTGTGTTTCAATCATGCACGAAGCTTCATTTTCAGTTTCCAAGGAGACACTTTCCAGGCTGCTAATAGGTCTGTGTTTGGACGTGTGGGTCTGTGTGTGTTCAGAGGCAGAGTTTGTGGGATCTGTGCTGCTGAGGGAGAGCATCAACAGTTCTATTGGCGACGATGACAAGATTTACTTCTTCTTCACCGAGAGAAGCCAGGAGCAGATCGCCTACCCAAGCCAGACCAAGGTGTCTCGGATCGCTCGAGTCTGCAAGGTCAGAAACCAAAAGTGCGAGTGACCATAATCACTTTAACGGTTTCACTGGGGGATTACCGCACCAAAGGTAGATTTTCAGCCCCGTTCCTGAAAGGTCATTGAAAAGAAAGCCTGAGATTAAGGAGGAGAAAAGATGCCACACATCAGAGTGCAGAAATCATGGGATTATCTAACGCTTTATGTTAGCGGTGCAGGGTGAAATGAGCCGCCACTCTCCTCTGACAGTAATTTCAGCGCTGAATGAAGGAGCAGTTGGACGTCTCTCATCACAGTTTTTTCACTCTTTCTGCGCCGCTGTTTCCAGGCAAACTACGAGCCATATTGTGCTTTGTACAGAGATCGCAGTTTCTGTGATCAAAGAAGTGACCAGAAGACTCAGCTGGTGATTTGCTAGACTTTTCATTTGTGTTGAAAAAAATATGAAACTACCGGACGAGGCAGAATTTGTCTGAAAAAGTGCAACAATTTATTTCCTTCCGTGTTCAAGTAGGTACAGAAAAATATGCCTGGCCAAATTAAAAGTGCAGTATTTCTTGAAGGAATGCATATTGACTACTATAATTTATAACAAGGTTTTAAATTTCAGCTGTTTTGGTCACAATTAGGCCTCTTGTGATAAACAATAAATGAATTAATTGCATGATAAATGAAAATTATCTAAGTCATTTTCATTTATTGGCTTTATCGTTCCTTCGTGTCTCTCTCTTTCTATTGAAGACACTGGATGACATAAAGCTCAACTCCTGTGTGACCACTCCCTTTCTCTTGTCTCTTTAAAATCCATTTTAACCATCCAAAAATCACTTTTTTGGATCATTAAAAGCAGCTAAGTTGAGAAGCTAAGCTACGAGCTAAGCTAACAGGCCGAACTCGGGAAGTAAACTCCGTCTTGTTGAAGCTCCAAAATTCATGGTTGAAACCTGTGCCTTCGTCTAAAAAGTTGTTTTTCTCTGCAAAAAGAAGCTGAGAACTTGTTTACTGTTTTTTATTAAAAGCTTTATGTGAAAAATGCTATGCTAAAGAGCTCAAACCACACCGAGCATCCGACATTTTGAGAACTGAAGCGAGACAGCTCATGTCATGTCAAGGGGCCTCCCTCCCATTTTTATTAAAGAACACTGCTCGCTCCCTCACTATCCATCCTTTGTTTCAAACAGTCTTATACTGCCATCCAGTGGTCGAGAAAAGGTACATGCAAAACAAATTAACAAGCGTTTCTTCTTAAATTTGACAATAATTACTAATTATTATCAAATTTCAAACAATATTATCGTTTATCACAGTAATTTCTGAGACAATTAATAGCCCAGCAAAATTTGTTATAGTGACAGGCCTAGTCAAAATCTTATACACAATGTTATGCACAATCTCGTGATAATGTAGCATTGGCTAAAAGCTAATGAAGCTTGATTAGCTGTGGTAGCCATCTTGAATTCAGCTGATTCCAAAAGTTAATCTGTTTATGAAGTCAAAATTTGTATCTTTTGACTATTTTTTCATAGCTTTTATGTTTTTGGTTTTAGTTATATTGTTTTATTTCTTTGTTATGTTTATTGTCTGTATTTGTACTTGTGTTCAGTTGTTCTCTAGAGTTTCATCACCTCATGACCAACCTCTGCTCCTCAGTTTTGCTCCTCCCACTCACACCTGTTCCCTATTCTTATTAGTCTCAGCTGCAGCCACTTACCTCATCAGTCCCAGCCTTTTTATTAACCCAGTGTTCATCTACCTGCAGTCCACCATTGTGCTTCATGTGTGTCCAGTCATTCTCAGTGTCTCCTTGAGTTTCCTTTTGTTTTCTTGTTCCCATGTCTGACTTTTTGTTTCCTCAATAAATTGTTTTAATTTTTTTTACATGAGCTCCACATTTGTCTGCATGTGTTCCTGATGGTAGATGTATATACTGTATATGGTAGATGTACTGTGAGTACTTTCTGGGTGTTACAGTAAAACCTGTGTTTAAAAGTAAAATGCTTCATTCTTCTTCTGAAAAGAAACCACGACTAAAAGCTTTGAGGAAGAGCCGATAAAAAAACGGGGCGGGGATCGAGTGGTGAAGAGCATTAAAGCAAAAGGTAGAGATAAGATTTTATGCAAATGAGCTGCACGAGGTTTTCTGAGCTCTAACTCTGTAACTGATCAATTAGTTGTAAACAAAACCAGAAACGTTTGCTGTTTTCTGAAACCATTTTTACAAAAACCCTAATGAATTTGAATTAATTTAACCCACATTTAATGAGGTAGAAATTGTGTTATAAGCATAAAAATCAAAACCACTGGAAAAACTACATATTTTAACAGCTATTATAGCTTTAAAGTAAGAATTATTCAATACTACTTTATCAGGATTGAGTGATTTCCTAATATTACAATTTATATTGTATGATTTTTGTTCCCACACAGCTACTTTTGTAGGATGTGGGATTTATCTGATTTTTTTACATTTAAAAAATGCGGCAATATTCTCCGGCTCCTGAACAAATATTTGAGGTTTTACTACCATTCAATTCATAAATTTCATGTCATAAATAAACACTACTTTTTGCTTGTTGTTCCTTGTGAAACTGAAGCCTCAAACTTGATTTTTTTCTTGAAATCATACTTTATTTAAACCTGGTGATGCAATATTTGTATTCAATGTGTCATGTAATGCAATGTTTTACTGAATGTAACCTAGTTATTATTCTAGTTAAATGTTCATTGACATCTAAATGAATGCACTGTATTCTCAGAATATTTTTAAATATGCTAAAGCTGCACATCACAACCTTGTCTCCGTAAGACTCAACAGCCTAAATACAACAATTATTTATTTTGAAGTGATTGCATTAATAAGAAAAAGTAAGTTTCTCCTTTATGCTATTATATAAAAGAGCTCAAGTATGTTTCATCACTATGACTCACTTTAGTTTGTGTGTTAAATAACAGAATCAAGCTAAATGTAAGAAATTAAGGAAGTAAACATGCAGTATTTATGTTAGTCACTGATGCAGTTTTATTCCAAACAGATATTATGCAACAGTGGGGAGTGAGGGCAGTTTAAAAACTTTATTGAAACCTTTGATACAAACTGCCTATATTTAGTATTCTCTTGGTTTCCTCACCAAAAACTTAATTTCTAAAAAAGAAAAAGGCCCTCTTTATCTCGCTTTATCGGTGCTGCGTGAAGTTGTCAGAACAGTCGAGAGTGTAATAACTCAAACCGAACTAGGCCACAGCAGAAAATGCAGATGTCGAGCCAGTCCCCAGCCAGCATTGCCCCGTGGCAGCCAGACGCCATGCTGGCTGCAGGAAGCTCTGCAGATAGCAACGACCGGCATCCGCCTCTGGCCCAAAATCCCCCGAAGACCTGCCATTTTAGCAACTAGAGCTCTGTATCTTCCCCAAGTTCATTGCCAGTCATGACCTATTTTTACAGAGAAGGCATAATGACATAAGTAAATAGAGCTTTCACTGACCCCAAAAACTGACATATCATATTAACGTTGGTCTTTGGATGTTCCATATATCTCCAGCAAAGAAGGACTTTTTCTGTGTATATTACTGCAGCATGATTTGCCATCTTGACTCTAGGCATGTATTACAGTGCTATGCTTGGATTGTCCCCGCTCTTACTTTATTCTTGTGCATTGATTGACATAAATTATAATCTGCCATTACACTCCTTAAGCTTTGTACACATTAATAACCCACACTCATCTCAATATAAAAAGCCCATTTTTCAGAATTATCCACAATTCTGTTTAGTGATATTTTTTAGGGAAACAAATGAACTTCCTACCTATTTTTTAGCTTCATAAGAAGGAAATTCATCAGCTGGAAGCATACCAGTGTTTTGGGATGCGTGTTGATTTTAGCTACTTTTCCTTTTTTGTGTGGGAGGTTGAGGCAGGCGGTGCATTTTGATGAACGGCAGATGTCCCCCCCAAAGACACAAACACAGAAAGATGAGGCTGTAAGATTCAGTCAAACAGGGGAAGAGAAGCCTTCGTCTCTGTATGCCGTCTTCTTTTAGTGAGGTGCACTAAATGACTCTTTTTACTGAGATGCATCTTGCTGCCCCCCACTGCAGCTGAAATGCAATTAGAGCAAGCAGTTTCCAGTCTGAGCTTCTACATCTACCTCCATTTTCATGAGACACTGCTTTCCTTCACTTTTCCTGATATGTCTGCAATCATGTGTATATTTCATGTTTCATCATGTCTTTCTGTAAATGCATCAATTTTCTCCCTGTTTTTCCACCATTACATTAATCTATGGTATGAGTAGTGATGTGTAAAAGTGAATAAGACTTTGTGTAATACGGTGAGAGATTATTTAATCTATTTAATTTGTCCCCTTGGTTGTTTCCTCTGCCTGCAGACTGACTGGGGAGGCCAGAGGACTTTGCAAAGGAAATGGACAACCTTCCTCAAGGCCAGAATGGTGTGCTCAGTCCCAGAATATGAGTTGCACCTCAATATCCTGCGTGATGTGTTCGTCCTGCAAGGGAGAGATGTTCAAAGCAGTGTTTTTTATGGTATCTTTGGTTTGGAATGGTAAGAGATGTTTTTTTTTAGGGTATAATTTTCTTTTCCAGTCTGACACTGTTTACAAGTCTTGGGCATTTGCAACCAAGTGAGCATCAAGCCGTGCAGCCAAGTTTTGCACAGCTAGATTCTGAAAATCATGGTCTAAACTTGCAAAACTTTAATCTAGGAAGTCTCTGCCTCCAGCCACATTGTGCCCACCTTGGTAGCCGCTTTCACGTTTAGGCTTTAGTGTACTGGAGTACAGTTTTAAAACGAAAATAGGCAGATATTGGACCAGTGTTTAATTAATTATTTTTCTTTGGATTTTAGATCTGAGATATTAAAATATCTTTTTGTAGCCTTGGAGATTCCCCGTCATAGAAGAGCGTCCATGAAGAAGTCAAATACAGATACAGTGATCTAGAATTTGTGGAAACAAATGTGAAAACAATTAAAAAATATATTTTATACAAGTTTAACACACCTGTGACAAAACTGAGAAGGGTTTAAAACAGGTTTGAGATATCTGCAACAAAACTGAGATGGAACTGAGAAGTCTGCAAAAAAACTGAGAAAGATCTGTGACAGATTTGAGACATCTGCAAAAAATGAGGTTTTGAGATAGCTTTCAGAAATTGAGAAGAATTTGAAATAGATTTGGGAAATTTGCAACAAAACTGATGAGAGTTTGAAATGTTGAAACATTTGCAACAAGTTTAAAATGGATTTAAGAAGTTTGTAACAAAACTGAGAATCTGTGACATGTTTGAGACAGATTTGAGACATCTGCGACAAAATGAAGAAGGTTTTGAGATAGCTTTCAGAAATTGAGAAGAGTTTGAAATGATATGAGAAATTTGCAACAAAATTGAGAAGAGTTTGAGATGTTGAAACATTTGCAACAAGTGTAAAATGGATTGAAGAAGTTTGCAACAAAACTGAGAGTTTAAGATGGGTTTGAGACATCTGAGACAAAGCTAAGATAGATTTGATAAGTTTGCAACAAAACTGAGACATGTTTGAGACAGGTTTTAAACATCTGTGGCGTAATTGAAATGGATTTGAGAAATATGCAACAAAACTGACAAGGGTTCAAAATGGGTTTGCGATGCCTGTGACAAATCTGCAACAATTTTAGAGGAACATTTCTTGAACATGTTTAAAATTTAAATGATGACTCAAGGAAGAAAAATTATAATCTGACAAATGTTTCAAGACATTTTAGAGACTCCTTCATGAATGCCGTTTACTAATGGTTACCAATGGTTGCAACGCAGTGATATACTGGCTTTACTTTGCTTTACCTTATATTTTCCTTTTTATTGATTCATTTTCTCATTTATTTGTTAAAAAAATGAATTTTTTATCTTTTGTAAACTTAGGAAACTATCAGAAATCAGATTTTCTGAGTTCCAAGTAAAAACAAAAATGACTAACCTTGAGATAAAAATACAACAAAAACTCTGATTTCTAAAGTAAACACTATATTTTCAAGCTTTTATGACAAAAACAGATTCAAGTTTATTGTAGCTAGCATCTGTTTCCCACTTAACTAGATTAAAGTCAGGAAACAGGGAAAAACAGAGGATCTCTGTTATCTGCTAAAACTTGATTTAATTTGTGCAATATATGCAAACTCATAAAGACAAGTTTTATTTTTATGGAGATATTTTGTCAGAGAACTTCATTTTCTGAATTCACAGTGAAAAGTACGCATTTGTATTTCAATTCATGTACACCTGGAAAGCCAATCATAAGATCTTATCAAATGAAAACTTACCGAAACATTATCATAAGCTGCATGTAACTACTGTATATATTACAGCTGTAAAGATATATAAAAAAGATCTGCATGATTTATTTTCTGTAATGAAGTGAAAGTCTCAGTGTTGAGCAGTGTTAAGTTGTTTTGGAGTGAAATCTGGCAGATCATAAGAACAGAAAATCTCCCGTCAAACACGAGTGTGATGACTGTTTATACTGTCTAATTCTCCTCTCACAAAAGAAAATCTCTTAAAGCCCCATGCTTATTTGAATTTTTGATTTTAAGCAGTGATGTACAGCTTTTGTTTTTGATTCACTGAAGAGGATAGAAGCCTATAAGAGATGATTTGAGAGCTAAATCCTTGAACTTTGTTATATACTGTAGATATTAATACACAGCTTAGCTGTGATATCAACATTTTAAAGAAGTAATTTATTTAAACTACCGTAAACACAAGAAAGTTGAAAGTAATTTTTCAAAATTATTTTTACAGTTATAATTTTTAGGGACGGATAAAAAAATGCAAAAAGACATGTAGATTAGTGATATTAGCTGTAAATTCTTATTTAGTGTTTCTTATAATGTTTTAATCTCTGAAGAAATAGATGATCTAATAAAATAAACAATTTGATTTTTTTTTTGGGTCTAAATGGGTTTTAAATAGCTTTTTGTAGTAGTAGTAGTTTTGTTTTCCTCCTAATTTATCCATCCATCCATTATCTTTACCCGCTTCTTCCTTTTTGGGTCACGGGGGTCACTGGTGCCCATGTCTAGCCATCACTGTGCTTGAGGTGGGGTACATCCTGGATAGGTCGCAAGTCCATCACAGGGACACATAGAGACAAATGAGACAATCATTCACTCTCTCACTCACACCTAGGGACAATTTAGAGTTAACAATTAGCCTAACATGCGTTTTTTGGTCTGTGGGAAGAAACCGGAGTACCCAGGGAAAACCCACGCATGCACGGAGAGAACATTCAAACACCACCGAGAAAGGCCCCCGGACTGGGATTTAACCCAGGGTAACCTTCTCGCTGAGAGGCAACAGCTCTATCAGTTGCGCCACCATGCTGCCCTCCCCCTAATTCAACAATTATTAATTTATCGCACCAAGAAAATATTATTTAAGATTTCTTTTTTTCCTTTTAATACACAATATTTGAGTTTTAAAATAGGAATAGGACAAAAATAAGCTAAATTAAAATGTCTCCTGGAGTTTTAGGATCATATTTTATTTATCAGTATAAAAAGTCATCCATAAATTATCAGACCATAAAGAAATAATCTGTTTTTGAATCAAAAGTGAACTGCTATAAAAAGAGAAGCAGCCAGAGTGGGACTCAGAGGACAAAGACTTCCAAAAGAAAATCTGGCGATAATGTGAGTGTTTATGCTGATGTGCAGAGTCATGGTGCATAAAACTGTCCCAGGGGTGTTTAGAATCTGATGGGGAGGACAGCATTTAAATGCAATGATAATACTGTCAACTTCTTTCTTCCAGCATCTTTCCATTATTTACCACCACACTTACTTTTCTGGATATTCAATCAGTTTTACTGCACCAGCATTTTTTATCTGCTTTATTTTTAAACATAAATGTGCACCTGTGTGAGTGCAACTCAAACATGCAGGAATGAGTAAGCCCCTTGAGCAACGCTGCTCACCAGTTTTGAAAACTGACTCCGGTTTCACTTTGTTCTTGTTTTTCTCACACGGATGCTTTTGAAGACTCAGGTGGGCACACAATGGGTCTACTAATGTGATGCAGACCATCCCCTTCTCCTCCCCCCACACCCAAGTTACTAATCTTACCTAGGGCGTAAGAGTCACCTGGGTCCTGACTACCTGTTCCAGCTCTTTCCTTTCTCAGGTGTGACACCAAAACCCATAAATGGGGCACTTTTATGTATGACTCAAAGTGAGTGGGTTATTTTGGTTCTGTAAATCTGCTTCCTCCTGGTCTGGATTAATAGATGATGCAAGAAAAATACTAACAGGGTGACCATTAAAAACAAAAACCACCAGCATGACACACAGACACAAGATCAATTTGTCATTTTTCTTGTCATTGATGTTTGGGATGTGTCTGAAATTGGATCTCAGTGGCAGTTTCTTCTTAGATCTCTCGGTGTTTAATCGTCTCTGAATCATTAATCCTGAGTGTGTCCTCTGGACACGTCTTTGGGGTGTTGGATTATATTTCAGGAAGAATATCAAAGCATCTGCCATCTGCCAGTACGCTTTCTCAGATGTACACAACGTTTTTGAAGGACCGTACATGGAGGTGCAGGACTCAAAGTGGAGGGAATACACAGGGAAAGTCCCAGAGCCGAGGCCTGGATCTGTAAGTTTTATAGTTTGTCTGCCCATGAGAGATGTTTTTCCATCCTGCTTAAACTGAACAACGTGATGATTACTGTGTCCACAGTGTATAACGGATCTGCACAGGTCACAGAGCATAAACTCATCTCGAGACCTTCCAGACATCATCCTCACTTTCGCCCGGAGGCACCCACTGATGGCCAAACAGGTTCACCCGATAGGCAAAAGCCCACTCATGTTCAAAAGGAGCATCAACTACGTCAAGATCGCTGTACACAAGGAACCGGCACTGGATGGAAACCTTTATACCATTTTGTTTCTGGGAACAGGTGAAGTTTGTACAAATCTTACACCGACTGTTCCTGCTTTGAACCCTGTAAATGTAGCATTACTGTGTTGCGTTTTGTCTTGTAGATGATGGCTGGCTGCACCGGGCCGTGGACACTGATGGAGATATACATATCATAGAGGAGTTGCAGATGTTTGACAAACCACAGCCAATAGAGAGCATGGTCATCTCGTCAGTTCAGGTGATTATAAATAGTCATACTTGGTGTTATAATAATGGGAATCATTTAGCTCCAGGTCATTTAAATTGAATGAATACATTTTCAATTAGATATGAGGTCAAAATGAGTTTTCTTCACAGGGTGGGTGGAATCTCCCTTAGCCATAGGGTGAGAAGTTCAGTTAACCACGAGCGACATGGAGTAGAACCGCTGCTCCTCCAGAGGAGCCAGTTGAGGTGGTTCAGGCATCTGGTAAGAATGCTCCCTGGACACCTCTCTCAGGATGTGTTCTGGGCATGTCTAATTGCGAGAAGGCCTTGGGGTAGACCCAGGACACTCTGGAGAGACTCCGTCTCTTGGCTGGTTTGGAAACACTGTGGAGTCCTCCCAGAAGAACTGGAAGGGTTGGCTGTGGAAAGAGATGTCTGGACCTTCCTGCACAAGCTGCTGCCTCATGCGACCCCTCTGGAAAAAGTGGAAGATAATGGATGGATTTTACTCAAGTAGAAGACTTTAGGTATCAGGGCATCTTGTTTATGAGTGATGGTAGGATGGAATGGGAGATGAGCCTTGTCCTCAGTAATGAGAGTTTCTTTGGTCGATTCTTGTGAAGATAGAGTTAAGTCAAAATGCAAAACTCTTAATTCACTGGTCTGTCTATGTTCCAACCCTCACCCATGTTCATGAGGTTTGGATCATGACTGGAAGAACACGGTCCTGGATACAAGCAGTCAAAATGAGCTTTCTTCATAGGGTGGCCAGGCTCAGCCTTAGAGATAAAGTGAGAAGCTCCATCTTCCAAGGAAGCACAGAAAGCCTCTGCTCCTTCGCATCGAAAGGAGTCAGTTGAGATGGTTAGTTCATCTGATTAGGATGCCTCTTGGACACCTCTCTTTGGAGGTCTTCTGGACACGTTCCACTGGTAACAGGCCCAGAGTTCAGGCAAATCCAAAATTTGCTGGAGGAATTGCATATCTTATCTGGCTTTGAATGCCTCAGGGTCCTCCTGGATGAGCTGGAAAGTGTTCTTTCCCTCAAGGACCTGCTGCCTCCACAGCTGACTATGAGTAAGTGGCAGAAGATGGAGATGGCTAGATGGATGGAGTAAATTGAAAATGCTAATATGAGCAAGAATAGAAAAGAGGCAAACCGATGTTTAGATCTGAATTACTGTGCACTGAGGTGCACAACAGTTTTAATATTAAATTATTGTTTACTCTTGTTTCACAGAGGAGTATCTACGTTGGCTCCCACTCTGGAGTTGTTCAGGTACCACTGTCAACTTGTCAGAGGTATACTTCCTGTTATGACTGTGTATTCGCCAGAGACCCCTTCTGCGCCTGGGATGGGAGAGTGTGTGTGGAAATATCATCACGTGCACAAAGGTATGGGAACAAAGGAAAAAATATAAATGCACAGTAAGATGCAAACAAAAAGATGCAAGTCACAGACTTTTTTCCACACTTTCCTCCACTTTTCCATTGTTGTAAATCTGTTCTTTCTTCTCTTCCTAAACACATAGAAGTTGACTAATCCTGGATTTAAATATATGTACTGAAGCTATAAACAGATTGAAAGCTTTTACACGGTTTTGGTTGGTTTTTATGTCCTCCCTCTGGCCTAACAGCAATATCAAAGTGTAATTAATTATTTATACAGCATCTCTACCCCTCCAACACAATTTCTGTGAAAGCAGGTCTAAGACAATGAAGCTGACCTGGATTTCTTTCATCAACTCTCTGAAGCTCAGCGGGAGCTTCAACCAAATTGGGTCTGAAAGTTTGGTTGGGAAACGAAGTCCCTAAAAGATAAACGTCTGGATATGATTCCATCAATAACTAAGTAACGCTACAAGTCTCGTAAATGAGCTGCATCAACAATAAAAATGTCCTATAAATTCAGAAAATGCTTTTATTTTAGTATACTGCTGTAGCAAAAACTATAAGAGTTTTGTGTAAATATGGAGAATTGGAAGAGAAGTGTGCTGGTGCCCATTTTTAAGAACAAGGGTAATGTACAGAGTTGTAGCAATTACAGGGGAGTTACGTTGATGAGTCACACAATGAAGTTCTGCGAGAGAGTTGTCGAAGCTAGACTTGGATGAGAGGTGACTATTTGTGAGCAGCAGTATGGTTTCATGCCAAGAAAGAGCACCACAGATGCCATCTTTACTTTGAAGATGCTGATGGAGAAGTACAGAGAGGGTCAGAAAGAACTCCATTGTGTCTTTGTGGATTTATAAAAAGCATATGACAGAGTGCCGAGGGAGGAGGTGTGGTATTGTATGAGGAAATCTGGAGTGGCAGAGAAGTATGTTCGACTGGTACAGGGCATGCATGAGGACAACAGGACAGTGGTGAGATGTGCTGTAGGTGTGACAGATAGCTTCAAGATGGAGGAGGGATTACATCAAGGATCAGCTCTGAGCCCCTTCTTGTTTGCTCTGGTGATGACAGGCTAACAGATGAGGTCAGGCTGGAATCCCGTGGACTATGATGTTTGCAGATAACATTGTGATCTGTGGTGAGAACAGGGAACAGGTGGAAGAGAACTTAGAGAGGTGCAGGTATGCACTTGAAAGAAGAGGAATGAAATTCAGTCATAGCAAGGCACAGTTCATGTGTGTGAATGAGAGGGAGGCCGGTGTCCGCTGTCCAGGAAAATGGGGATTGTGGTAAAGAGGTGAAAAAGAGAGTCCAGGCAAGATGGAGTGGATGGTGAAAAGTTTCAGAAGTGATTTTCGACAAAAGAGTGTCAGCAAAGGTCAAAGGAAACATTTACAAGACAGTGGTGAGACCAGCTATGTTATATGGTCTGGAGACAATGGCATTGACAAAAAGCCAAGACTGAGATGATTTGGACATGTTCAGAGGAGGGACAGTGGGTTTATTGGTAGAAAGACGTTAGAAATACAGCAGCCTGGAAAAAGACAAAGAGGACATATATGGATGCAGTTAGAGAGGACATGAAGTTAGTTGGAGTGAGGACAGAGTGAAATGGATGCAGATGACACTGTGGTAACCCCTGAAGAGGGAACAGCTGGAAGAAGAAGAAGATTGAGGTCAGGCAGGAATCCCCATGGACTAAGATGTTTGCAGATGACATTGTGATCTGTGGTGAGAACAGGAAACAGGTGGAAGAAAACTTAGAGAGGTGCAGGTATGCACTTGAAAGATACACTTCATTGTTTTTCCCACATGTTGATTTTAGCTATTGTTACTTTTAGCTTTTAACTTGTGTTTAGTTAAATGTAGCTATTAGCTGCTGTATTACGACTGTTTTGCTGGTTTTAGCTTTCATCTATTTTTTGTTGCTCTTTCGGCTACTATTTTGCTAGTGTTTTGCCAATTTTAGCTTGAAGCCTCTGTTCTGCTGGTTTAAGCATATTACTACAGTTGTGCTAATTTTTGCTTTAAGCTACTACATTGCATAATTGCACAAGAGTTTTGTTTCAAACTCTGGCACGCAAGTCTTCTAGGAATGATACTTTTGTTATTTCTGTGATCATTAAAAATAATGTAAAGTTTGTTGTATTTAATTAATTATTATTTATCCTCCCTTAGCTTTGAGGAGCATGTTTTGGTTATTAGATGTCATGTTAACTGAGTTTATAATTACTGTCCACATATTCATACTTTGGATGAAGATAAAAAATGAAGTAAACAGTTTATTCTTCAGTATTTATAGTTAGATTATTAAAACAGGAAACAACTTTTATCATCATACATATTCTCAGATGTTGAGGATGATAGAGGATATATTACATTTAAACACAAAGTGGGTGTTTTGTCACAAAGTCTTTTTCCCTTTTAGCATTTAGAAGAGGTCAATGTTTATTTGTTAAGATGGGGGTGAAGGATGAGGACACTTTTATCCAGTTTGTTACAATCTATAAGTTGTCAGGCTTTATGTGATCACATCTCACTGCTGCCCTCAAGCGGACAGAAGTCACCAACTTCTGTTCTATTGTGGAAGGCACAGATAGAGAATATAAAAATGTTCAAATTGAATAAACTACAAATTCAAAAAGAACAAACTTTTATTGCTTTAGAGAAGTTTGGGCTAATGGTTCTGCTTAAACTGTTTTGTTGTTTAAAGTGAAACTAGAAAGATTAAATTCCTGCAAACAATACGTATACCTATATAAAAGCTAAAAGGAGCAGGACATTAGTTAAAAGAAATAAAACACTTGCTACATGTTAAAAGATGCAAAACACTATAGTTAAAAGACAACAAGGGTAAACACTATTTAAAAGCTAAATCAAGCAAAATTTAAAAGGAACAAAACACTAGCTAAAAACCAGCATGCACAAAATATTATTAAAAGCTAACAAGAGCAAAACACTAGCTAGAAGCCAACAGATGCAAGACACTAGCTAAAAGACAAAAGGAGCAAAACAGAGCTAAAAGCTAAAGTGAGCACAAACTAGCTTACATCCCAAAACAAGCAAAACACTATATAAAAGACAAATTAGCAAAATGCTAGCTACAAAGTAAAAGTAGTCAAAGTCTAAATAAAGGCTAAAAGAAGCCAAAATCTATGGAAGCTAAAAATAGCTAAAGACTAAATGTAGCAAAACTCTACTAATTAAAAACAAAAAAGGTTGAATCATGTCATCTGGACTTCGTATACTACTATAGACTACTATATATATATATATATATATTTGAAGGAATCAACAAGATCTGTGTATTTGAAAGTGGAAAATGTTTGCTAATAAAGTTAAATATTTTGAAAAGTAGAAGTTACAAAAAAATCAAGAGCCATAGTTCCTATCTCCTGAAGGAGCTGAAAGTTTTGATATACAAATGTCTAAGATAACAAAATATTGAGAAAAATTTAAATCAAAACTCTTACGGCTGATAGTGTAGAACACCATCTTTGATTTCTGAAACAAATAATTCTGTTAATCTTTCAATAAGTGGAGCGAACAGCCTGTTCTGCAGCGTTGGAAAGCAAACATTGTGCTGGAGGACTTAAGCTTGTGCTTACACGCTGTTCTGTGTGGCAGAAAATCATCCAAGAACACAAGAATCCCTCTGCCAGGAGACGCAGCGAGCTCCAACACAGCAAAATTAAATTTCTGCTTGTGAAATAAAATCACTGCTGCAGGAGCGTAAAGCTTTTCTCTTTGGAGAAAATGTCGCCTAAAGTTATTCCTCGTTACTCTGTAGCCTTTAGGCTAAAATCAAAACATCACATTTGCACAGTTAGATTGATTTATCTGTTGCCATAAAAGAGGGCGATCGTGTAACCTGCCTGTGTTTGTCTGTTAGTAAAATATCTTGTAAAACTGAACTAATTTCATTTTAAACTTCCAGAAGGTAATCATAGACTCTACTACGGTTTAACTTATTGATCTTGGCTGAGACAAATGCAGCTAAAACTCAGTCATTTTTATACATAATGAGCCAAAATTTGCCATGGTGGTAGCTGAGCGTTATTCCTAACAAATGCTCTGAGCGCTAACATATCACATAATATTTTTAAAATACTGTCATTAACTAGCGGAGTCAACCCAAAAAATACAGTAGTGACTCTTGTGAATATTAATAATGGGAGGGCTTTTGTTTCTTAAATTCATAACCACACAAAGTTTACCATTTTGCATTATATTTGCTATAAAAAATATAGGTTATATGTTGCTTAATATGTATATATTGCCTTTTTTTGCACAAAGTTGTTGTCTTTCTTCTTCCTCCTGTGGATCAAGGTTGTGTCTCATGAAAACAGTTCAGTCTAATAATTAAATCAGAGAAACACACGTGTCTCGTGCACCACACCCACCTGAAACAGGAGTATTTTTTAAACTAAAATAAAACAGTAGAACACAGCTTTCTGGATTGGATTTCTAATTTGATTTGATTTTGCAAATGCATTCCAGGTGAACCAAGTTAAATGTGAGGGGAAAAACTTATGTGAAGTCATTCAAGAAAATATAAAAACGTATGTCTTAGCTTAACTGGGACTTGACTCTTGAGCCTCGGGATTACAAGACCGCAGCTCTGACCTCTGAGCTACAGTGTCCCCACACTTTCTACAGTCACACAACCTGTGGGCAATTTACATATAGGTAGACGTGGAAAATAGGCCTTCCATATTACAGAAAATGTCCTGTTGAATGTTTCCCCTCTGTTTTTAGTTTTCTGTGTTCTGTTCATGTCTGGGCCTGTGTGCAGTCTGATTATTTATCTTCTAATTGTAGTCTATAACTGGAAACAGAATATATCCGCTGTTGGACAAGGCTGTTTTTGCTGCAGCTTTTCCTGCACTACATAAGATCACGTTCATTCCAGAATTAGTAGTGATTGTTTCAACGAGCTAAAACTAATGCGTCAGAATATTTGACACCCCAATGAGACTATTGGAGCTGCCTGTTTTGATCACAACTGACAAGGGATATGATAAATAATGTGATAAATCCACTGACGAACACAGGCGCTGTCCTGTGCAGCCCCTGAACTGTAAATCAATAGGAAACTGAGAATAAATTGCTATTAAAATAATTAAAAATTCCATTTAAAATGGTCAAAATAGTTTAGAATATGCATAGAATAAAGCAATACACAGCAAGCTAATTAGGTAATTTAGGTTATTTATTAAGAGGAACTACTTTGTGGGGAGAGTGTTTTATTTTTTTATTTTTAGGTGGGGCGCCTTTAAAAAACTTTTTTTTTTTTAAATGCTACTTTTATTGTATTTACCGCTTCTTTTTCTTTTAAACTTTTTAAGGGGACTTTTTTCAAATGTCTGTTGTGATCTAAAGGTTTTATGCTAATTTCTCTAAAATACTTTTTCCAGGTCAAACTTGACGCAGGACGTCACCAAAGGAATCAGGGGCTGCAAGGAGAATTCGGGAAACGGTACGTCTTAAATGACGCACGCACACGCGCATGTGCGCACACACACACACATACACACACAAACACGGAGTCCGTGGTTTTGGTCCCCAATTGCCAAGGTGTCCCCAAATGACTGGTGAGTAAGCTGGTTCAAGTTCCCAAATATAGCATAAACAAACTCATACACACACACACACACACACACAGGCATTCATTATTCAACACCTCTTTGATTTTTTAGGAAGCTTGAACGCTTTTGTCTAACCTTCTGCTCTTCTTTGATGAGTTTTCTTGAGTTTCTCAGTCAGCTTAGGTGGTTAAGTAAAGTTCAAAACATTCTTTTCTTTCTCTGCATAAAAAATGGAGCATTTAAGGATTTCTCAAATGATGTTTTTAGGTGTGTTTTTGTCACCCAGGCCCCGCAGGAGCCCACATTTTAATCAACTCCTCTCCTGCAGGAGGTCAGGCGGTCCTCCTGCTGCACTGCAGGGCTCGCTTCATTTAAGGAGGCTTAAGAGAAGTGAGAGAAAGTGATGCTGCAGACGCACACGTTGCTCACCTTCACTTTGAAAGCAGAACCTCGGTGACCTGACGTCTTGTTCTACATCCGTTTCTCTGTCCTGCTGAGTCAGCATCCACACTTTAGTTTCTTCTGGACAATCAAACTGCTTAAGTTATTTTAACCATTCGTACACAGAAAACGTTCGGCTTGATCAGAAATGTTCTGCTGAAGCTTTTGGCATTTATATTTTTTTATTTATTCAAAATGTTTAACTTTATTTATTTACCTTTTCTCTCGCCTAAGACATCGAGATCTCTTTAAAACCTTCACCATTTGGCAGCTCTTTTAAATGACTGCTCTATTTTTGTCTTCTTGATACTTCCTTAGCTTTTGTTTAGATACTTTTATCTTTTAGTTAGTGTATTGTTAATTTTAGTTAGTAGCTACTTTTAGCAAATATATTGTTTTTAGCCACTGCATTGATGGTTTTTTTCTTTAAGCTACAATGTTTCTGCTTTTAGCTTCATGTGACTGTTCTGTTAGTGTAGGATTTATACTGTTGACCTATTGCTTTATTGGATGTAGGATTTAGCTAAAGTTTTGCTAATTTATGTTTTAGCTATACTGTTATACTAGTTATAGCTTTTAGCAACTGTTTTGCTAATTTCAACCTTTAGCTATTGTTTTACTGATTTTAGCTTTTAGCTGTTGGTTTGACATTTTAGCTTTTAACTATTGCTTTGCCAATTTTAGCTTTTAGCTGTTTTGCCGATTTGGCTTTTTAGTTACTATTTTGCTAGTTTTTGTTTTCAACTACTGTGTTTCTGAGTTTAGCTTTACGCTAGTGTTCTGTTAGTTTGTACTTTTTTCAACCATTATGCTAACTTTAAGTTTCAGCAACTTTTATGCTATTGTTTTGTTGATTTTAGCATTTAGCTACTGATATGCTAATTCAGGTTTTTACTATTGTTTTGTTCAATTTTAGTTGTTTTTTTGTCGCAACAATTATGCTAACTCTTGTTGTTTTTAATGTTTAGCTTCTGTTCTGCTAGTTTAGACATTGCGCTATTGTTAATTTTAGCTTATAGCGACTGTTGGCTTATTTCAGTTTTAGCTACCTTGTCTCTCGCTGACACCCGGCTCTCTCATCCTCTCGTTTTGTCTCTCAGTGGTACATCGGAGGCGCTCTGTGATGTCAGGCGACGATGTGCTGCTTCAGTGTGAGTTACGCTCTAACCTGGCCACTCCACGCTGGACTCTGAATGGCAAGGAGCTCCGGGGGTACGGCCTAAACACGGGGTACCGCATCGGCACCGATGGCCTCCTGATAATCGGCGCTCGCACCCAACAGGGCGGATCGTATCGTTGCTTCGCCACAGAGAACAGCGTCTCTGTACTGGTTTACCTTTACACGGTAAAGGTGCACACAGATCCATACTTGGTTGTGGGGCCCACAGACACAGCCGAGCCCACTCCGGTCTCCGGTTTGACTGTTTACTCCACGGTCAGCCCCACCGAGCAGCCTCTGCCTTCACCTCCAGCTCCGCTGTCTCCTGGAGCTGAGTTCCAGATCTACAGACACATGGAGGCCATCTACATCTCGTTGGTGGCAGTTCTCGGAGGGCTTTGCCTGGTGCTGACTGTGGTGCTGCTTTACGTGAGCTTCTGCACCAGACGGTCCGCTCAGAGCCGCAAGTTCTCCCAGCAGGGTCTGCGGGTCCTGGGGGAGTCTGAGAGAAAGCGGAGCTCCCATCTTGAACTCAGAACCATCTCCAGCCACTGCAACGGCCGTCAGGGTCGTCGCTCCATCTCCGTGCCGACCTTCGACACCTTCCTCCAGATTGTTCCCGGCGATGATGAAATGTCCCCGGCCAAAACGCCTCCGCCAGCTCCTCCTCTTCCCAACCCACCCCCACTCCCCAACGTGGACTTCGCCAACGGGCTGTCGGCCACTCTGCCCAGCGTCCTGAGGAAGATGAACGGGAACAGCTATGTGCTGCTGAGGCAGGCCGACCCCGAGGGGATGTCGCCACTTTACCACTCCTTCACAGAGGAGCTCAACAGGATCCTGGAGAAGAGGAACCACACTCAGCTGCACCCGCAACCTGATGAGAGCTCCATCTAGGAACATTCCTCTTGGTCTTTGTCTCACAGTTATATTTATTTGTAACCTAGAGGGGATGAAACGTTGCTTTGTCCAGGAGGAAGGTGCAGCGTACAGAGTCTCTTGGCGTTGGACCAAACTCAGCAGAAACTGAGGTCCGTTTGCCGAGCGACTGCACAGACAGACAGACTCTTGGAGTTTTATGATGAAACAGTGAAAACTCTAAAATATGGGAAAAGAAGGGAGTCGGTCGGCACAAAAATGTGCTAAATGGACATATACAAAGTCAAATAGGGCCATGTGGCCACTGGAAACGGAGGAGACCTTTAAGAAATATTCTGTGATCTCTGTGTAGCTTCAAGTGATACTCCTATAATCCTGTATCTTGTGCACATGTTTATAAGTCTGAATTTATGTTTTTTAAATTCTCTATGGGTGTTTTTTAAGAGTGGGCCTTTATGTGAGGCTGACAGTGAAGGTGGCAAGTTTTAGATTTGAGAAAATCTGAAGCAAAACGACTAAAAGTTTGGAGGTAGAGCTGATTTAAAGAGCAAAACAACAAACCAGACAACTCAAATTAGACCTAATCTAACTGACCAAACTAGTGGTAAAAGATTTGTTACCAGAAGGAGTAAAAATATGTTTTTATCACTCACTGCAAAATAGCAAAGGAGGACAATGATGTTTTTGCTCACGTTCCTGAACACAATATCCTATAAACTACTGGATGAATATTAATTTAACTCACAGAGCAATCGTTACTTATTTATTTAAAACAGATTAACTTTAGGAGACAACAAAATTCAAGATGGCTACCACAGAACACAGAAAATGACTATAACTCAGTCAGTTTTACAGATACTGAGCTGAACGTTGGCGTGGTAGTAGCTGAGAGTCGTCTTCAACGCACATTTCAAGCAATACTAGATTACACAAAAACCTCCTAAAATCATAGATTGCACATAATTTTATTTTATTTTGATTAAATGGCTCCAAAATCTTTTTTTTCCCTCAGCTTAAAACTTAGTCTGAAACTTTAGCATTAAAACTTTAATTATTAAAGTGAATTAACAGAATATTTATCAAATTTAATGAAAAGTATTGATGTGAAAACATGAGAATTACTCGGAAAAGCTTTTGGATAAGTTTTGAGATAAATCATTTGGTTTTTGGTTGTCAGAAACAAAAATAACTTATATTTATTTTCTTTTATGTTGGAGTGTTTTTGTAAATAATATTGAGGTGACCTTGTAGCTTTCTGAAAAGATTGTGTTCAATCAAACGCCTAAACGACTAAAAACACGTGAACGTTCAAAAGTAAATTTCACCCTAATTCAGAAAAAAATGAGCCATTGGTGGGGATTAGAAACGTTCATACAAAAAGGAAGAATTAAAAGCTTTAGGAGATAAATTTGCAAAAATGCATTAAAGGTATTAAAAAGCAGAGTGCTAGGATCGTGAAAAATGTCATAAACTTTACTGAGTTGTTAAAAATTAAGGTTATTATGAAAATTCATGAGATGAACTGGAGGCAAATTTGTAAGGACTTTGCTGAAGGGATTAGTTTAGCCTCTTAAAAGTGTTTTTTAATTTTTGAGTTTTGCCTGAAAGTATCAAACTTTTCACCTGTTTCTGACAATCCGTTGCCTGTAAATGCTCTTATTTATTGTGACATCTGCTGATTCTTTCTTTTTCCTCACGTATGATCAAATTTAACTTTATTTGGAGTCGGAGTATCACTTTAGGAATCCAGCTTTGATCCTGAGCATGAGAGATTCGTTTCAACGCATCTGTTTAAACCACATTTTGTGAATTCTCTCGTGTAAATAGCAATAATTGCGTCATTGTTGCAGCAGTTAGTAGCCAGTGGAAGCACCAGCTGCAGGCCTGATTTAACTGCGTGGGAAAAGACGAAACATTGTGAAAGGAAAGTATTTTTTAAAGGAGTTGACAGACTGATTTAACTCGACAAACAGTTAAAATGCTGCAAGCTTAAATGATCTGTTTGCGTTGATATTTTCTTTGGAGATAAGTCTAAGGTTTAGATATGTTTCCAAGCATAGACATAAGTGTTTTTATTTGTTTTGACACCAACTTGTACAGGATAGACTTGAGTTGGTTCTCAGCGCAACAAAACAATAAAAAAACGCAGCGATCGCAATATTTCCCCATCGAGCGGCGCAATGATTAAATACCCCACATGCTGTGACTTACAGAGAAGTGACTGAAATGGATCTGGGAGTCGTTCGTAAACATGTCACAGACTGAATAAAGATGCGTCTTCCCCAGCAGTGGAGTGTTGAATCAGCTTTTCTGATGACCCGCAGCTTGCGTCTGTCAGAGCATCGCTGACAGTGCTGGCACCGTTTGAATCCCCTCCATGACGAGAGGAAAGGAGCCTTTTTGTCTCTGTTCGCATTCGCTGCTGTCAGACAGGAAACGTTTGACCTGTGTGTTCTGGTTAACCTGGATACAAGCAAATGAGGTCTGTTTTTTTATATCGCTTTGAGCCACATAGACTCTTCATTAGATCAGAATATGAATTTGACGCTGATAAAGAACTAAAAAAACACAATCTTCTCAATATTGGGCACAGATTCATTCTTGGTTCCATGACCACAAAGTTGATGTGCCCATCTGGTCTGGATCTGCCACTTGGTTTCTTGAATCTGTGCAATTTTCATTCAACCTTTATTTATACAGATTAATCACATTGAGCCTCGGAGACTCTTACAAGTAAGACCTGTTTTAGACAAACAGACAAAAGTATGGAAAAGAGAAAACTCGAGGGAAGGGAGGTTAAAAAAAATAATATCTCGCACTATGTCCTGGCCGGGGCACAGTGTGAGAGTTGGAAAAAAAGACCTCGTACATAAACAGCATAATGACATCATAATACATTTATGCATTCATTCATTCATTCAACCTTTATATATACAGGTTAATCCCAGTGAGCCTCGGAAACTCATTTACAAGCGAGACCTGATTTCTTTAACAAAGAGTGATGACAACAGTGGATAACAACGACAACAATAGACAATCATAAAAGAGGCATACAGATTTAATCTTTTTTTACATATTAAAATAAATTGGAAACCAAAAGGAGAGTCAAAAGGAAAAAGTAGTGAAAGAAACAGCTAGATTATAAGGCATTGTAAAAAAACTAAAAACAGGAACATGTCTGCATTGGTTCTTGCCAGGAACTTAACAGATGTTTAAAGCCACTTAGAGAGGTCAAGGTCGAGAGCGTCAGATCTTTTTGCAAGATGTTCCAGGAAACAGGAGCAGCATAGTAGAAGGCCCTTTTGCCTAGTTCAGTTTTCACTGAGGGAACACTGCATGTAATAACGTCCTGAGAGCGCACGCTGTAGCTGGACTCATGCAGAGACATGTAGGAGGAGATGTATTAAGGCAACAGACCAAGAAGTGATTTGACATGAGGAGGCTGACGAGGGCAGTGAGTTGTCCGTGGACTGCCAGAAAGTTCCGTAGTCCTGATAAGGTGGCACAGTGTCTATCGGCTGGCTCAACTCTGACACAGATCCACAGATGTCCTCAGGAGGGGAGCAATGGGGAGGGGGGAGGCAGAGCTTCTCGTTCACATAAACAACCAGGAGAAGTTTCAGATAGCTGGCCAAATCAAGGCTGAGTGGGGAAGCCAAATTAAGGTAACACTGTTATTTGGGGTCAGTCAGACTCTGCTTGATTTTCATGTCTGCCTTCATAGATCTGCTGGTACATCTCAGTGGCAATTCCAAACAGCCAAATTTTGTGGTCATACTGCTGGACTGAGCTTGTAGCCTTCTCCAAGATTTATTCCTTCCCACCAGTGAGTCCCAGGAGTCGCAAGTGTTCTGCGATTCTCAGAAATCACATCCAGCTTACGGCTCAGCTCATGCAGCGTTTGAGAGCTTACTGCTCGGTACATTCCTTCATACAAGCCTGGCAGCTTTACCAAGGCCAGAACGACTGCCAACATTTTCCAAATTTGTCGATAAACCAGGACACCACCGACTCCAAAAAGCAGAAATCCTGTTATCATAAATCTAATTTTGTACGCGTCTTCTACATCCTCAACGGATAATACAGTCAGTGTTATGTCCACCAAGGGCACAACATATTAAAGGAGGACACGAGACAAATATGAGGGTCCTTGGTGGACGTAACATATTAATGGGGGCTCGTCCGGGATCAGGACAAAAAACAAAGGCACCAGAAAACCGAGGGTGGCCAAGAAAAAGGTCCAAACAAGGAGGTCCAAAAAGAGAGTGACTGAGAGGTCCAAAAATGTGGGAGCATGAGCGAGTTCACAAACAGAGTGAGTCTGAGAGAAGAAAAAGAGGGCAAAATCTCCCTGAAACCAGCCTGTTTATGGGCAGGCGGAAAAGGCCACAGCCAAAAACAATTAAAGGCTGATTAGTCAACACAAATCCTTTCCAAAGGGACAAAAATAATAAGGCCAATGTGCCTGGCACATAACAGTCAGACACATCTTCCACTGTCTCCAGGAATCCATAGTGTATCCAGTTGCGAGTGTCTCTTCAGGGCATGAGGGCTCTCCTTCGCCCCGTCTTTTTATCAAGAAAATTTATCAATTACGTTGAGAGACCAGCTGACCAGATTCATAATTTACATTTCAGAGGATATGTAGTGAGAGGCTCCGATAAGAATCACAAGACAAAGGAGCAAAGCAGGAGGGAGGAAGGAGCAAGAGGGAAAAGTGTCCGTCCTTGTCGTGAGCAAGCAGAGAAGCTTGCAATGAAATCTCAAGACTATCAAGGCAGAGGGAAACGTGGTGCCCATTGTCAGAAAGCTTGGTCTCAGTTGCAGTTGATAATGGGATACTGATCCCAAAACACCCAAACATAGCTCAGAAGCTTAGAACAAAATAGATTAGATCAAACTTTATTGATCACTTGGGAAGATTCTTTCAGGGAAATAAAAAATAGTGAGTTGATGTCTTTGTGGAGCCCTTCAAGCCTGCAGTTAGCTCACGAGGAGTGGACCTAAACACCTGTGGA